AATGCACTTGTTCAATAGTCATTTATGTTGTAAATACCCGTCAAGAGGGGGGAGGGGATTATTAGTAACTAGCTACTCGCCCCGGCTTCGCCCGATGTACATTTTATATATATAAACCTTTCTCTAGAATCACTCTATCTATTAAAAAACCGCTTCAAAATCAGTAGCGTAGTTTTAAAGATTTAAGCATACATAAGGACGGACAGACAGCGACAGCGACTTTATTTTATATCTACTATGTAAAGATGTGGACTATTTTTTTCCCCGGAATACGAATTTTTGCACACATAGTTTATATAGACAATATATTTATATATGCCACCTATGTGATATAAAAAAGAAGAAATATAGAGAAATAGTGTAGAATGATGATATTTTTTTTTAATTATATTTTTAATTAAGAAAAAATACCTTAAAGCAGTAAAAAAACACACTACCATGTATCTAACACACACGCATGTATACTTTTTTATTTTATTGCTAAAGCCTGAAGTCAAATTGATATAGATTTATTCAGATTGTCCTTAGTATTATTTGTCTATAGTATTACAGAATGTTAAATTAATATGGTCATATTTTGACTACAGCGCCACCAATAGTATTCGTAAATAAATTTTCGAAAATATTTATGCAAATTTCTTTAACGCTATGATTTTGCTTTTGCAGAGATCTAAATATTGACTATAATTCTTTGACCTATTTCGTGTTTTGTTTTTGAAGTTTCCTGATACTGTTTAGGTATCACTAAAATACAAATTTTCTGTGTTAATTCAATGAGGATGTTATAGCATAATTAACGCTCTAGTTTGCTACAAGATCACTTCATAGACAATCTTATTAATATTATAAATGCGAAATTTTGTGAGTATGGATGGATGTTTCTTACTCTTTCACGCAAAAACTACTGAACGAATATGGATTAAACTTTACAGTAATATAGCTTATACATCCGAATAACACATAGACTATTCGCCTACTCTAAAGATTTTTTGGCTACTTCACAATTCTTACTATTTATACCAATATATTACATGGCGTCATATTACAAACAGTTTATAGATTCTTTATTGTCTCAGAATTATTACTTCCTCGTTGTTTTTTTTTCTTTAAATAGAGAACGTCGAAGCTTAGTGGTGCACTCCAAAGGTAATAAGTTAGAATCGGGTCGGCATAAATAAATTGTATGTTAGTGTACATTACTGATTATCTGTCGAGTCAGTTAAATTTCGTTGCTTAGGTAGTTACTAACTACAAACGAGAATAAACCGATTTAATGAAAGTCAACGGTTGGCAATGTCTCTGATCTTATAGGACACCTTGGTGTCAGGATTGGCAATCATGAGCATTTCGTGGTGATCTTCTTGTATATAAGAATTATAGCCAGAAATAGAAATAGAAATATTCTTTCTTCAAAGTAAACTTAATACAAGTTTTTGTCCGTTCTTCTTGTGATAAGACAGCTTTCCGAATGAGTGCTTGATTAAAAATGTCTATTCAACAGTGCTGAAACTAAAGTTTATTTAACTAAGGATTTTTCTATGAGTGGTAGATTAAAAATATAAGAATGCTAATTCATAAATGCTTATATTTTTTTGAATTAGGCATTTTCTATTCTCTGCAATATTAGGTATGTACATTTGCAATGAGTACTGACGATAATTTTGATGTGTGAGTACGAATATATAATATTTATGCCTTTAGAAATAATCGTACAAGAATTAGTAATGAGTACTGACAATACTTTTAAGTATCTGGATGTACGAGTGTGTTTATGGCTTTGGAAGGAAGCCTATAAGATATAAACACTTGACCTGAAGACTGACAGCTTCGTCTGACTTGTAATTAATAGTATTTGCCGGTTCTTTTGTTTCCGCACAAAAACTAACAACACCTACGAGTAATTGGGTATTGTTTGAAATAGCTAACAGTTTAATATATCTGTTACATGTACATATGAATCAATTAGCAGTATAATTGCAGAATAATAAAATATAGAAGATATACTAATGTATGTTTATGATTAATGATATTTTGAACACCTAGCGTATCCACAAAAACAATAAAGTAATATAACACAGATATAAGTGTATAATATGAATGTGGATGGATGTAAAGGGAGGGGACGCCCTAAGAAAAGATGGATGGATTGTGTGAAAGATGATATGAATAAAAGAAGAGTATGTTTAGATATGACGACCGATAGAGAGCAGTGGAAGAGAATAACATACTGCGCCGACCACAAATAATGGGACAAAGGCAAGGGAATGATGAACACAGATATAATAGAATTTTGAAGGTTTTTTAATTCTCACTCTCGGTGTATGTTGGAGCGTACAAGAAGTTTATTTTCATCCTCGGTTTCTTTCTTATTTAATATTATAAAACCGACAGTAACTCTGTCTATCTGTCGCGCTTTCACACCAAAACTACTGAACCGATTTACATGAAATTGGATGCACAGCCTAAACCATAAGAAAGGATATAAGCTACTTATTAATGCGAAAAAAGAGTTGAAAGGAAATATATAATAATTTAAAGAATATATTATTATTTAAATTACTTTTAAATAATAATATGTATATTCTTTAAATTACTTTAAGTTAATATTTATTACAAAATAAATATAATTTAATAATAATAATAAAATAAATAAAAATTCTTCATAATTTACTTCAGAATTACCAACTTTTACATACTTTTAATAGATTGACTTTATATTTATCCATTTACTAATATGAATTAGTGCTATTTAGTAGTTTTGTTCATACAATACTTGAAAATCCGTTGGGTAGTTTTAAAGATTTAAATATACATAGGGACGGACAGATAGCGACAGCGACTTTGTTTTATACTATGTAATGATAACGATTATGTCTATTTCCATTACTCAGAGTAATATAGGAAAGTCCTACGATTGAAGTATATTGCAACATTTTATTAGTTTTACTATGTGTCGTGGTCGCTGTTGTAATCTCTATGCACTCGTTACAAGTGGATACGTTTTCCTAATCGATTATCTAACTCGATTATAATATAAATAAATGACACACAATTGCCTAATGGTTCTAAAATAACTTGTTTCATGGGTAGCCATAAGGCACAGCCAAACTAGAATCAAATGAATATTTGTTTACCAAATTGATCAACCATTTAAATAACTATAAAAAAATCACAGGTAGTTTTGCCGAGTGGATTTCTATTTTTTTCTATTTTAATACTATTAATTAACACTACCTGCAAACGACTGTAGCCCACTTATGTATGAGTTTTTATCTCTTCATTTCAATATCCTTATTGATTCTTATCCCTGACGTTCTAGGTAGCAAACTTTGAAAGGGTTAGTACAACAGATATATGCTACAGGTCAAATACCAGACAACGGCCCAAAACCAATAAAAAACATAGACTTAGTTCGCGTGGATTAAATAACTAAAATTTCTAAAATTAAAGTAGCTTAACTTACTCCTTATTACATTAACTATCTGCCAGTGACGTCCCGTCAAAATCGGTCCAGTTGCAGAAATTAGCAAGAACAAACAGACAGCCAATTACTCACTCTCACAACAGCTCAATCACTAGCTGTCCCGGCAAACGTTGTTTTGCCTTAAAATAAAAAAAAAATTTAGGGGTGGACTACCCCTAACATTTAGAGGGATGAAAAATAGATATTGGCCGATTCTCAGACCTACTCAAATGCTCACAAAATTTCATGAGAATCGGTCAAGCCGTTTCGGAGGAGTATGGGAACGAAAACTGTGACACGAGAATTTTATATATAAGATATGCATTTAGTGAAAACTTATTATTTTAGATTACCAACGGACTTTCCTTTTTTTTCTATAGATCACAGATAACATAGATAATATATATACATATATAAGACAATATTGTATAGATTAATATTTGTATATGAGGGTAACCGGGGCGTCATAGCATGCCGCAACTGATGTGCTCGCATATTATCCGCGACGTGGATTATCTCATCTCATTGACGGGCCATTGTCTTTCCACAATGGCCGACATGCTGATATCACAATTAGGATTCACAAATGTCATTGAACGTAACTAGATTACTATCTGTGCTGTTACTATAAAGAATAATATAATAATAAAACCCTGACCAACTCCCATGATAATCAGAGCTTGTGTTATGGGTACTAGACAACTGATATATATAAAAGTAATTACATAATATTTACATAAAATACCCAAACGGATACAAACACGAAAACAATTATACTCATGAATACAAATGTTTGCATCGTGCGAGGAATCGAATCCGCGACCGTTGACAGTAAAGCGGTGTGCTATTTTTAAGGGATGATAATTACCACCAATTAAAAAAGTCATTTAACTTTTTTAATTGGTGGTATTATACGTGGTGGGTATATGTTCTCCCTCTAATATGGTAGAGTGCAATGATGGCTGGTTCATCCGTCATACTGGTGAACGGATGCTGTTTGTGGGGACTGAGTTGACAGCGTCAAATGGCGTCAATATAATCGCATTATTGACAGTCATTTTTACTATGTTACATATGAAAATCGTTGCGATCGAAGTTATATAATTAGCCCACTGGTCTCTTCAGGTTACGGCAACCGATATCCTTTTGACAAAATTGCAATAACATATCCTTATTGTCACTCTATTCTCCTTAATTGAAATTTATAATGTATCTGTACTTTTGTAAACATGTCGGTACAAATGGCATTTGAAAAGAGTAAGAGACGAGTTTCTTGTTAGTTCTTCTTAGCTGGTTAGCACTCTGAACAGACGGTAGACTTAACATATTATCTGAGTCTGTAACAGATCTACATTAATAAAAATGTTTTGATTTGATTTATCTCGATGGTTTCCAGGGGGAACCGCGTGGAGATCAACCTGATATTGTTAGCAATGAGATCATTAGTCCACACGATGAGCTAGGCTAAGATAGGTAATGAGGTATATAGGATTTTTTTTCGAGTTATTGTTTACACAATTTATTTTTTCTCTTACAGGTGAAGGACGTGGACGCAGAGAGCCGTCATTCGGGCAAATTGCCGGACAATAAACTGGAAGAGAAATTGTAAGTCTTAGAATATTTTATTTTATTAATAAAGTAGAAGTAATGGTGTTATGTGTACTATATAGACAACTGATAATAGATATACAAAATACCCAAACAGATACAAACAATCATACTCACGACTACAAATGTTTGAATCCGCGACCATCGGAAGTAAGCGGTGTGCTAAACCGCTAGACCACCGAGGCCGTCAATTTATTTATTAAACGTTGTAGATTTGATGACAATCTTATTTTATTAAAGTAATATTACCACTCTCTAGTGCTTGTTTTATATACAACAGTTATGCGTGGAGACTTATTATTGGCAAACTGTTTTTATCCACCTATAATAACTTGTTTCTTGTAGCTATTGGTTTTCCTAATAAATATACATATAAATAAAATTGGAGTGTTTGTTTGTAATATTTAAATAACCGTTTTTTACTACATGCATATGAATACGGTACATACACCAAAATAACATTTTTTACAATTTTTGTCTGTCTGTCCGTTTGTTTGTTCCGGCTAATATCTGAAATGGTGGGACCAATTTTGACGGGACTTTTATTGGCAGGTAGCTGATGTAATAAGGAGTAACTGAGGCTACTTTTATTTTAGAAAATGACGTTAAATTCCACGCGGACGAAGTCGCGAGTACAGCTAGTAAATAAATAAATTTGATACTACAATGAAGGAAGAGCCCGGCGTGGCACACCACATCGTTATGCACTGCGGTGTATCGTTCCGACATTGTGCAACCAATGTTGCATTCACGCTGAGAACATTAATTTAACGGATTACCGTAACTTAATTTGTGTTCAGTTAAGCACTAATTAAAATACAACTCGCCGATAAGAAGGCCTCACTGGTGTAGCGGTTTGGACACCGCCTTAGTTCTGATTGTCGTTGGTTCGATCTCTCGTATGGTACCGATATTTGTATTAATGTTATAATTGTTTGTATATTTATAGGTGTGTGTGTATGTGTGAGCATATATGTTAATCTTAATGTTTAGTTGTATTATATAAATATGAATATGTCAATGCAATGGTTCTCAATCAATATTTTTCTTTCTCTCTTTCTATTGGTTTTCGCGTCTCATATGTATGTTTTGTATATTACTCACATAAAAAAATGTTTATGTCAGTTGCCTAGTATCCGTAACACAAGCTCAGCTTAGCTTGGGACTAGGTTCGTAAGATACAAAATATGTATTCATGACTATGATTGTTTGTTTTGGCCTGTGTTTCCTATGTATATTCAGTAAGTACTATATTTTTTATTAAAAAAATAGATACATTTTTTGTAAATTAATTCATATTATATCACATAGAAAATATCCAGACCGAGACAAATAATCATACCTACTCACGAATACAAATGTTTGTACCGTACCAGGAGTCGAACCCGCGACCATCGAAAGTAAAGCGGTGTACTAAAACATACGGGGCCGAGTGTAAACATTAATAATACTCAAGGTATGTTTCTGGGTAATTTGCGTTATAATTCTAGATAGGTTGTAAATGAAGCATGGGAAACAAAAAAAAACTATAGGTATTCTAAACAATGGACGGGTAAAGAAGTGTAACATAAGATCGACAAGTTTCCGATGTAATTGTCGTTTAGGGACCAGCCTTTCAACAAACGTATTATGTACGTTTGTTGAAAGTGGGGTTCCGGTTCAAGAAAACGCTTTTCATTTATTCCGTGAGTCTATTCGCATGTTAAACAATTACAATAAATGAATGGTATTTTATATTTATCGTGAGTCTATTCCTATTTTAAACAATTACAATAAATGAATTGTGTTTTACATTTATACAACTATTTAATTATTTATTCAAATGACCAAATAAAACATGGTACAAAAGTCGAACTTGCTACCTATTTATATATTTCAATATCGCGCAAAAACTCATAAACAAACTACGTTCATCTTTGTTTTGGGTTCTTTAAAATTAATAATATCACCAGTATTATATTTTCTTTTATATAGAGACAAATATATAGTTACATTTATATTTTATATATGCATATAAAAAATAAATGTTCAGATAACAAACTGTTTAACAAAATCTCTGTTTGTAATATTATGTTGTACATTTTGTATAAAAGAACACAATATTTAAAAATTACACATTTATTTAATAAATTATTAAACAATGAATTTATTAAATAAATGCGTACTGGAATGATGTAAACAAATACAATAAAATAATATGCGTCACAATGTAATATATACACACATATATGTATGTATTATATTTATAAATATATTAAAAATCACTGGCTTATGTTTGACTGTTTAAAATTTAATTTAACTCATTTATGAGATAATACGGTAATAATAATGAAAACTAACAAATTTCTCAAATAATCCAGTCTATTACCAATAATAATCAACAGTAGACAAAAGCCGTAACGCAATAAAATTAAATAGAAAATATCTTGAGTCGTGATTTTATGACTTCAATAATATTTTACATCCGCAATGAACTTGTAAACTGAGTTGTATACAATTACGTGACTACAGGAAATAATAGATATATACAATACGTTTATAGAATTAAAATATACTCACATGCGTAATCGATTACGGAACCCGAGCTGCGCACGCGACGCTCTTTCTACATTTTTCTTCTTATATTATTTTCTACAGGTATATTGGCAGAATATGCCAGGATTAGTACATTCAAAAGCCCTAATAACAGGCTACTCGAACAAATACTCAAATAAATTATTGCTATTGAGTAAAAACAACTTATACATCATCACTAGGGCCCGTAGTGGGCATTTAGCACTAAATATGTATAAAAGTTTTTTTTGTATATTTTATTTAATACTAGCTACTCGCCCCGGCTTTGCACGGGTGTACATGTATTATATATATAAACCTTCCTCTTGAATCACCCTATTAAAAAACCGCTTCAAAATCCGTTGCGTAGTTATAAAGATTTAAGCATACATAGGGACAGACAGCAAGAGCGACTTTGTTTTATGCTATGTTTAATATGTATATAATATTTTTTTTTGTGTTTATAACACAATTCATAACAATTACATATAAATATAAAGGTACATGTATAATGATAGAAAAGTTCTTTATATGAAGATAGTATTCGCTCTGTTTGTCTACACTTTAGAGTAGAGGTCTCTAAAGAAAATATATTAAAGAACTTATATAAGCATAATAATGACATCTAAGGACAATTCTCGGAGCGTCATCTAGCGCTAATCTAAGAAGAACTTATGTGTTATAAGTACTAGACAACAGACATAAATACATACATATTTTCATGTATCTAATATACATAGAAATCACCCAGATCAATACAAATAAACATTTGTTCATTGTGTCGTGCGAGGAATCAGTTATTGCAAAAAAAAAACAAAAAATCTAATCAGTGTTTGCAACCTGACCAGACTAGACCCACAAGCAGCACCCGTTCACGAGTATGACATATGAAGTTATACTTAGATGACTTTGTACTTAGAGCAGCCTTGGTACAAAGTCGTGACAACAACGACATTACGGCTTATTATCTAAAATATCATCCAGGAATGAGGCGTGTTTCCGTTCAATGGATAACAATATAGATCTAGACACAGTCGTGAAATGTAGGCCGTGTTGTCGGAAGCAGTTTAGAATAGATAGGCAGAACTATGAGGTCGTCTTACCTAGTATATAACATCGGTTATCAGGCATTTCGAATATTCTAGAATATAATAAAATAGGTAATTCTTTATTCAAATAAATTGAATATCAAATGCATCTCTTACCTAGTATATAACATCGGTTATCAGGCCATTCCAATATTCTAGAATATAATAAAATAGGTAATTCTTTATTCAAATAAATTGAATATCAAATGCATCTCTTACCTAGTATGTAACGTCGTTTATCAGGCAATCCAATACCATTCGGTTATCATTCCAATAACATAAAAAAATGGTATAAAAAATCAGTCGTAGCGACTTGAACAGAGAAAGGGTCTGTTCTTTTCACTCTCCAGAAGAAAGTTCGAATAATATTTAAAATAAAAAATAAAGAGATAACTGTAAACCTTATTTTATAAAAAAAAATAGATTACTCACCCTGCCGTACATTTGTATTTTGTAAATTTGTGAAAAAATATCCGGAAATATACACAATGCGAGAAAATGTAGACATCAAAAACGTGTTGCGTAATTATAAAAAAACAACTATCCCCACCTCTCTTCTTGAATTACATTCCAGTGGCCCCTTGATGTCTCGATTAAAATTGAATCAACTCCCAATTTCTGTAAAAACTTTGTAAAGTAAGCATAACCTATTTATAAAGTATCTAAAAGAATTACTATCTAATAAACATAATAAGTATCTAAACGATTAGATTTGGATATGATAGATATATAAATGAACAGCAATAAATTATATCTTAAAAATATTATAAACGCGAAAGTTTGTAAGTATGGATGTTTGTTAATCTTTCACGCAAAAACTACTGAACGGATTTTGATGAAACTTTACAGTAATATAGCTTATGCATCAGAATAACATATAAGCTATACTTTTTATTGAAATTTAACGCGGACACAGATAGTGTATAGATAAATACTAAACATTGATTATTTGTAACAATAATTCTATTATGTTTGCGTACCCTAACAGAGTCCATACTAATCTAAATGTAATTGGAAACAAGTGTAACTATAAACATTATAGAATGCAATAAAATATTGAATATTCGAGTACTACAAGTAGTACCCGTTCACGCGGATGTCGAAAGAGCTATGGTTTTTAGTACTTAACTTTTTAAAATATTTGCATACACTACAACATATAAAAATAATATTCATTCATAATATATAATCGACGGCTTGTTTGTATCGGTCTGGAACTCTATGTATAATATGTATGTATCTACGAAAATTATACATATCTATGTATTTATGTCAATTATCTAGTTATCTAACACAAGCTTTAGCTAGCTTGCCTTGGGTCTAGATGGCGCTGTGTGAATTGTCCTGAGATAAATA